TATATATATATATATAAGTCAAGCCTAATTTATTTTCCTTAATGAAGTGAAATCGATGGTTAGGTATTGCAAATTGCTTTTTGGCTTCCTAACACAAAGTCTATTTAGGGATTTTTTAAGAGCAAATTTATAGTACCATTACATATTAATTGATTTTTGGTGCACTGTCAATTACCGTCATTTGTTTATATTACGATGCAACGGTTCTTATTTTATTTAGAGCAATTGTATATACACATATGGACCGTATATGATTACAAAATAACAAAAGGTCAACCCTCTTGAGTTTCATTTTAAGATTTTAATTTTTTTTAATCTTAAATTTGATAAATGTGAAAACGATGCATGCACCACGCCGGCACAAATACTTGAATGTATATGTATAATATAAGTGGTACTATAGAAAGATCATAGATCTCATGAATAATATATATATATGTTATGAAATCGGAAGAATATAAGCATATACGAAAATCGGATCGTTAAATAGAAATCGAAATCGATCGTTTAAAAAAAACATGATCTCTTGTTACTTTTTTCTTTTAAAAGTGTGTAACAAAAAATAATACAAATGACCTATTTATAAAAACTCAAAATTATTGTTTATTTATACGATCGGTGTAAATAATAACCGTACGTATAAACAGTAAATCACTATAAAACATTAACGCTGAGCTCATCATAAATATATTTTATTTATAATAATAACAATATATATATATATATATATATATATTTATATATATATATTTATGGTCACAAAGTAAAACAAGATTATTCGACCGGAACTGGTGAAGAAGCAAAACATGTTCAGTTTAGTTCAACTGTATGTTCGTCGCCTTCTGGTCGTCTTATTTCATTTCATAATTCCAGTGTCTAATATTGATTGGTTCACATTATTATTCCATGGCACTGTTTATAAAAATATTTACTTAATACCATTGAGATACCATTTTAAATCATATTCGTTATTAATTATTTTATTCAAACTCTTATTACTAACTTGAATTTGTTTGCTTTAGGTGAAATTTTGAATTTGATATAACCTTAGTTAATCAATTAGGAGATCTTATTTTAACTAAAGGTGTATATAAAAGGGATAATTCTAAAAAGATATCTGAATTTATTAATTTTTACAAAATAAAACCTAAACTTTGTTTTTTATCAAATAAAATCACCAACTTCATTTATCGTTGTTATTGTTAAATCTAAATATTGACATGACATATCGATATCCTTTACGGCAAATCAACATTTTCATTATACTTGACTCGTGATCATCCAAATATTCTGATATTGGTACACTACGTTAACAATGAATTTAAAAACGATAATTATTATAAATTTTAGATTTATTTATAACTTAAAAAATGAAGTTAATGTTTTATTTGGCAAAAAATAAAAGTCAGATTTTATTTTGTAAAATTGGCAAGTTCAAATAATTTTTTGAATTTTTTCTATATTAAATTAGCTCAATTAAAATTTTCCAAGGACGAATTCCATTTAAATGGACATTTTTGCAAATCAAATATATATTTTTTATTCTAAAATAATGTACAAACGATATCATTTCGAGTAGTCATAATTGGTTACAAATTATAATACGAGAGAATATTCATTTTTAACATAATTCATTCATTGATTAATAATAATAAAACATATCGACGTCCCCACGTAACATGAATTGCATTTGTCTCGTGGAGTGTCATTTTCTGAAGATTATATATATATATAAACTTTACGTATTAATATACTGTCTTGTAAAACTGAAATTAGAATGCCAACACAATAGTAGAATTTGGAGTGGAATATTTTTAATACTTTATATGAATCAACGCATTAATTAAATTAATACTTGTGTATTATGAGTGTTATTTTATAATTGAGTTGATTTTTTAAATTGATAAAATTGTAGACAGTTGATATATTTAGATAAGTTTAGGATTAAGATTAATATGGAGACACCTTGTATCAGTGTTTTTTATTTTTTAATAATCGATTTTGAAAATATGCACCATATTTGTTTTCATATATTGGGTAATGCTACAAATTTTAAACTCACAATCTTACATAGACGAGGGAAATATATTTCAACCTATAAATTACATCTCTAAATTCTACTTTTTTAGCTTTTTGTTGATGTCCTAATAGATTCTAATCTAAATTTGGTTAACCGGATCCATTAAACCCATTATTTAACCTTTTTTCATATAGATTCGATGGGTTTGAGATTCAGATATATATAATATTGTAAAATTCCTATATATATATTATAGAGACACACGATTGAAAAATAAATGAAAATAACGTATAATTTTTTAGTGCGGCCAAAACTCGGTGAGAAATAAAAAGATGAATACATTATGTAATTAATATGCTCCCCCACAAAATATTAAATTTATTTCAAAGTGATGTAACACAGCTCAAAAGCTTCTAAGACGGCGACGTTTTACTGTTCTTCGCGAGCTCCGACCTCTCAACCCTAACGTCGATTATTAATATGGACAGCGACAAGAGCCTAACTTTTCTTTTATTACAAGTCTTTTTTATTTTTATTTTATAATAAAAAAAATTGTTACATGCAATTCAAGAATTACTTAGTATTCCAAAGGGAACAAATTATATAACTTTATAACTTTATGGAAAGAAAAAAACTTAAATGACTAATGGGCAGTTTTGTTTTGTATAGAACTTCGAGATTTGTTAATAAATATATGAGGGATGGTCCCAAGGGAACAAATCATAAATCCGATATTGAAATATTTCTGTATAAAAAATTTAAAGCCCCATCCCATCTCCTATTTATAGATTTCAAATATTGCATATTTAGTTGTTCTAAAAAAATATTAATATACCGACGGTTGGCTAAACTTGAATTTCATAAATAAAATTAAGAGCAGTTACATAAATTTTAATTTTTAATAATTTTTGAGAAAATAAAGAATAGATTTGAATTGGGTGGGATGAATCAAATTAAATTTGGCCAACCCTGATTATGGGAAAAGGTTTTTAGGGTTTTCTTTTTACAATTACCGAAGAGCGCATGCATTGGGATAAAGTTGTATGGTGAAGAATCACAGCAAGAATTTACCGAAGAGCGCATGCATTGAATCTTTTATACTAACAAATCTTATCCCAATACGTACGAAATTAATTTTCCAATGATGATTTCATAATTTAAGCTTAAATAATTACATAGAATATAAAAATATCAACTTAGACATAGATGGTTCTATTATTTACATTATTTGTCACTAAAACACCCAATATTTCCTTTGGCGTGATGAAGAGAGACAAAGAGAGTTTGGTATATTTATTTTTTTGGTAAAAAGAGTTTGGTATATTTAGTACAACTAAATTGTTAATTTGGCAAATTAGTTTGGTATATGTATTATTTCGGATTTAAACACCCAACCAAAGTGTCCATAACTAAAAAATATATTACATATATTTCATTGGACTAGTTTGATGGGTTATTTACGTAGAATGTAATATTTGTTTTGGATGGTTTTATTTTTGGGGAAATCTTATATAAATACCCCCAATTTTGCAAAATACGATAAATAAATATCTAAACTTTTAATTTGATCTATTTGATGTCTTAAATATTCTTTTTTTAAAATTGATATCTCAATCGTTATATTGTTTCAAATGGATACCACAACTCATGTTTCAATTCACAATTTCGATTCTGACCATGATATACTAATTAGAGGATAATTTTCAATACAAAACGTGTATCGAGATTGTAATTTGCTCTCGATTTCGTGAGTAGTGTTGAATATCATTTTTAAATATTTTAATATTTGATATATCAATTTGAAATATTTAACATTTGAGATATCAATTAGATCAATTAAATTAAAATTTTAGATATTTATTTGATATATTTTATAAAATTGGATAGGAATTTTCTCTTTATTTTTTTTTACTCAATATATAAATCAAATTTATTTAATAAGCCGAAAGCATTCAACACAGATATAATCCATGAGATTTTTATATCATCCATTTATTTTCTTCTCATTGTAACCATGAGACTAAAACCTTTTTTTTTTTTTGGTTTTATTAAATTCTCTATTTTTTTTCCCCTTCTAACAAGTCCAAGTGCAAATGCAAACGACCCTGAAGTCCGGCCACGTGACGCATTCTCCCCTCGCGACGTTATCCCTGCTCTTATATTTATCAATGCACGTTTGGTTACATTGGTCGTCCGTACATTCGGTCAATGGTTCCCGGTTGGCGCAGACATGGTCCACCTCTCTGCGCGGACTCACGATCGCTTCTATATGCATAATAATAATCAGATCAAAGAATCGAATACTCTCCTTATATATTTAAAAAAAGAAGAGAGAAATAATAATATTATTATTATTTTAGGAATTTGGATAAGAATCGGTAGGGTTTTAAGTAGGGATCGATAATGTAATGGGGTAGGGTATGTCAAACCGAATTGAGCCAAACACACAATATATCAAAACGAGACTGCCTCGCGATTCGATCCACGAGTTTAGCTCGAGTTGAGATTAAAAAATTCGGATTCCAAAAAAAAAATGGGTCGAACGAGTTAATTCGGTACCAACCGAATTGGTGAACCCATGAACTGACTCACAAGTGAAAAAAATATATATTTTTTTAATTTTGATTTTCAATTTTTTTATTTTTTAAATGTTTTTTTATTATTTTTAAAATAATTTTTTTTATTTAGTTTTTTTATTTGGCTCGCGAATCATTTCGCGAGTTAGGACAATCTTAATCGAGTTAGAATTTTTTTGACTCGTGAAAAATAGATCGCAGTGATCTGAACTCAAAATGGGCCGGTTCGAACCGATCTAGATGGAGTTAGACACTCGTTTTACATGATTCTATCCATACAAACACTAAAGCGGATACATAATATATATTGAGTATGATTTTTCTAAAATCAAATTAACCGAAACCAAATCGAATGTGAAAGTAATTGAAAAATGAACAAAAAAATGCAAAGCCTTTCAGAAAATTAATATTTGTTGCAATGAAAATCGAATCTTTTTAAATTCATCTTTTACAAAGCTAAAAAAATATCAAAATCGAAATAATTGAACGAGAATACATAAAATATTTAGCTTTGGGTTTGTACTTACCAATTTTGCTTGCCCTGGCCTTTTCGCATTCTGCAAAGAAATTTATTTAAGTAAAAAATGATTATAAAAACCGAATAAAAATAGATTTCAATGATGTAAAAAATATTTAAAAGAGGGTTAAATAATAGTATTTACGAGTCAAAGATAGAATCAACACAAGAATGGTGGCAATATGAGCAATCTTCATCATTTGATGATGATCTACTTTATTTTCTCCCTCTTTGAAGTTAGTATTTATTTTAAATAAGGTTTCGAAATATACGTTTCCTTTTCTACTAAGTTTTTTTTCCCGCTTTTAAGGAGAATATGACGTTGATATTTATTTTGTGGACTCATTAATAATTTACCGTTATTTCCTTGGTTAATAATCTAGTCAATTAATTGCTTTAATTAAGTTTCTAATACCATTATTAGCAATAGATGAAATATTCATTGTAAGTTATAAAAGGTTTTTACTAGGAACGTAAACGGTGCTGTATGACATCAATAATGCATTTTAGGAAACACATTTATATGTCAATACTCGAATAATAATGCAGCTGCCGTGTTCTCACGATTATTGATAGCAATAATTTTATTTTAAAAAAATAAATATATCCATACCCTAACGTACATCTCATTGTTATCACTCTTAAAATATGGTATTAATTCATGTAATTTAGGAGTTTAGTTTATACATGGAGCTTTGTGTTAAAAAGAAAAAAGAAATTGAAGAGAAAAATAAGAAGAGTTGTATATATATATATATATATATATATATAAAGAGTAGGGGTGGACAATTCGATCCGGTCTCGAACCATACCGAACTGATTAATTTGGTTTCGGTTTGATTCGGTATTATATAAAAATACGGAACGGTACGAAATTTAAAATACCGAACGGTTCAGAAATGGTTCGGTTCCGTTCAAAAAATATCGAATGGTATTCAGGTTCATTTTTTAATTAAAAGATATTTAATATTAATAGTTAATTATGATATTTACTAATATTAATAGTTTGTTTGCGTAATACATTGAGATTAATGTTGAATTCTTTTAAATTTACATGTTCAGAAATTTTATTTTGTTGTCTAAAATTATTATGTTGGATTTCTTTACTTTTTATATTATATGAATTATAAATATGTCATAAATTGTACCGAATCGTTCCGAACCGTTTTTGTTTCGGTTCTTATTTGGTATTTATTTATCAGTACCGTACCGTCCCAAACTGTCATAATACCGATCCGAATAATATACGGTAGTAATTTGATAAAAATTTTATAATACCGAATAAATCATTTCCAAACCGAATGGTTAAAAATCCAAACCGAATCTCGAAACGCACACCCCATATAAAAGAGTTAGTTTTTGAAAAATAAAATGTAAATACATAAGAATTTGTGTTGTAAGAATAAATATTTTGGAGTTGGAGTCCTTTTTAAGATGTAAACTAACACTAGTGAATGTACATAAAATATATATAAAAAAAATAAAAAACATAATACATATTTTTATTTCAAGAATGCAATGATAGACACGGATCGGATATCTGATATTTTTTAGATATCTGTCGTATCCGTATCTGATCCGATCCGTACAAATATATAATTTTATTATTTATATTTGATCTGTATATTTCGGATACCGCAATTTTGAATAACTGAAAAAATTGAGGATATTTGCGGAAATCCGTATTCGACTTAAAATACGGTAACAATGAGAAATAAAATTTTCAAAAATAAAATTTAAATAAAATGAAATATCTACGTCGCGAAAATTCTAGATACATTGAGATAAAAGAAATAATAAAATCATATATATGATTTCTCTAACAACGAATCAACAACGAATCAATGAAAGCATACATCGGATTTTCTATTGTCTTACACATGATAAGTTAGAGACACTCATTCTACACAGATACTATGCTCAGAGACATTTCTACATGTATATATATCAGGGCCGTCTCATTGTTAACGGAGGCCCCGTGCAAATATTATATATCTATATCTATATCTATTTTTTTTTTATTTTTTAATCAATTTTAATATATATATATATATACATATTGAGATTTCCTAAAATTATATATTTTTTTTAATCATAAAATAGAAAACTAATTTTATAATTATTTTTTATGATAACATTGTAAAAAAAATTTAAAAAATTTATGACTCAATTTTTTAAAATTAAAAATAACATAATTTTTTTTAAAAAAAATGAGGCCCCAAAAAATTAGGGGTCTGTTCAAATGCACCACTTGCACTCCCTATAAGACGGCTCTGATATATATATGAACAACAACAAACTAAAAAATTATCTATGGAAAAGAAACTCTAATTATGAAAAAACGAAGAACGCAAAACATATAATCTCTATCTCTAATGTAAAATTACTCACCGATCAGTATATCTAGTAATATTACTTAAGAAAAACCTAATATGTTTTTTCTTTCTCAAAATGACCCCATAAATATAAAATCATTACCAAATGATCCTATATTTAGTAATATTATTCAAAATACGGATCGGATTTGTTGGATAATTCGATTTTAATATCTATATATGATCCGTATCTAACAAATATTTTAAAACCAATATTCGTATCCGATATGTGAATTCCGCATATCCGAATTTTCGGTTCGGATATGAATCGAATAATGAATCGGTTCGGCTTTTTTGGATATTATGTCCACCCCTAATAACAATATCTAATTAAAATTTTACAAATTTGTGAGATACTAGCAGTTAGGGGTGGGCATTCGGTTCGGGTATTTCGGTTATTAACCGAACCAACCAATATATATCCGAACCGAACCGAACCGAATAAAATTAAATAACCGTTTGGTTATGATTTTTTAAAATCCGAAATAACCGAACCCGAAACGAATCGAACCGATATATATGAATGTTTATTTTAAACGTATTTTATCATTGTTATTATTGTTTTTAAAATTTATGTGATATAAATATTTAAAAAACGATCTTTATTTATTTAATAGTTTTATATCAAAATATAAATTTAGATATTATTATTTTATATGTTAAAATAATTATGATAATATTTTATATTATATTATATTTGAATATTTTTAATTATAAATGAATTGATTTTTTAAATATTATAACCGAACCAAACCGAATCTTTATTTGGTTATAGTTTGGTTATAATTTTAAATAGACAAAACCGAGTCGAACCGAAACCGAAACCGAACCGGATAAAATTAATTAACCGTTTGGTTACGAGTTTTAATAACACGAAATAACCGAACCCGAAATAACCGTAACAGATTAACCCGTAACCGACCGTTCGTCCACCCCTACTGGCAGTCACAAATAGAGTGTTTTCAAGTTGGTCAAGGTGCATCTAGTTCCTGTTAAATACGAGTGTGACAAAGAAAATAATATACATATATATATATATATATATATATATATATATATATGAATTTTCCTTAATTGTCTTTTCCATTTTTTTCTTCTAGGGTTTTCACAGGACATTCACATGTTTATGCATGGCTAACATTCAAAATGTTCTACAAAAAAAAAACATTCAAAATGTTCTTGGTAGAAAATGTCACATTTTTTTTTGGGACCCTTAAATTTTGGACCGATAGAAATCATAGATAGGGTCGGACCCTAGAATATATATATATATATATGTATGTATCGAGGGTCTACGAATCTCGAATGCTTTGGTACACCTCTAATTCTATGATTATTGGGCCTTTTTTTTTAAATCTACATTTGTGTGGTTTTACATGGACATGGACGTAGTCCAATATATTTTCGATCTTCGGCCTTTTTTATTTATTTTGTTTTATATGATCGTTTACGACATTTCAAGCAATTTATACACTTAAGAAACCTATAGAAATCGTATTATGGAGTTACATTTACATACATTGCCGCTAAACGAAATATAATAGTGGTGGATTGGGTTAAACCGAATATATTAAAATCTTGTTCTTTGGAGAAATCTGATTTTGAAGTAAAAGAAAAAGGCGGATTAGATATAATACTTATATAATTTTTAATAATTTATAAATAAATCATAAATACTTAATTATTTTATCTTGTAAAATATAAAAATCCAAAATTATTTTTTAGTACTTAAACAAAAAAAAAACTAATGGAGAGGAGCCTAAAACCTAATACTAATTTTCCTTTACATTTATTTGGCCGTCCTTTCATGGTTTTTTTCATATTTGATCTCAAACTTAAGTTACTAGCTAAATATATTTAGAGGGGACGATCCAATCATCTATCACAAATAATATAAACACACACGACATAGACGAATTAATCGAATAATATAATATAAATTCGATACTGGCCAGAGAAATTATATATATTCGTGTTTGAGAGTCCAAATTTATATTCCTTTAAAATTGTTGAAAGGACTAGACGATGATGATAATAATAATATAATAATAATAATAATAATAATAATAATATAGAATGGAGAGTGAAGGGGGTTTAGTGTCACGTGGGGGGAAGAAAGTTGGTGGGCTTTGTTGGATTCATATGATTCACATTTCTATCTGCATTTCAATCACCTCCTCCTACGTGGCCCTATCAGGCCCAAACAATAATAATAACAATGATTAAACAGAAATCTCATAAATAAATAAAAATAACATTATTAAATATTTTATAATTAATTAATACAATTTTAAGTTGTCATCTTGTCATCCCTTTGTTTATATGGAAGTATAACACTAATAATTGAGACAAACGTCGTGTAATTGATAGTCAACCAAATGTTGCGTTGTTTTAAATAACTCTTTGTTATTTTATTTTTTTGCAATTTAAGCAATCGTTGTTTGTGATTACATATATAAGTTTGTAACAAAATATAAGAGGTTTAGTGTTTTTACCAAATTAAGTATTTAGGTTCTTAATTCAAAACTCGGTTGACATTGGAACATTAGAGTGAGTCTCACGTGATTATTATTTTTTAGCGTTAAAGATATAAAATTACTTGAACCGCACAATTTTAGTGCCATTACATTATATATTATATGAAAATTCCCAAAAAAATCATTCAATTTAGAAATAGCTATGAGATTTATCACCAACCTTATATTAATCATGAAATTGAATTTTTTTCTGAAAATTCATTAAGAATTTGAATTTTTAACAAAATACTCGTCGGTACCGAATTAATTTTGACATGGAGATAGAAAACGTTTACGTGACATGTACTAAATGGATATGTAGGATACACATCAGATTAATAGTAAAACAATTGTAAAAAATTATAAAAATTATAAAAAATTGTAAAAATTGTAAAAACAATTATGAAAACTGTAAAAACCTATTTAAAAACCGATTTAAAAATCTCTACTTCATCCCGATTTTTACAATGTTTTTAAAATATCAGTTTTTTTAAATTGTCATTCCTTTCATATATATCACTTCCACCAAATATATTTAGATTTTTACAATTTTTAGAATTTTTTACAATTTTTAGAATTTTTTACAATTTTTACAATTTTTTAACAATTTTTACAATTTTTATGAAATATATATAAATATAAAGTAGGTTTATTAAAATTTTATATTTAGGTTTTTATAATTTTTTACAATTGTTTTACAATTTGTTTCAATTTTTTTATAATTTTTATAATGTTTACATTTTTTACTATTAATCTGATGTGTATTCTATGTGTCTGTTTAGTACATGCCATGTTAAGTATTTTCTGTTTACGTGTCAAAATTAATCGGATGCCGATGAAAATTTTGTTAAGAAAATAAAATTCTTAATGATTTTTTTAGAAAAAAATTTAATTCAATATGAATAGAAATATTTTAAAATTTTATGATGAATCTGCTAGTTATGTGTGAATGATTTTTTTGAGAATTTTTCTATAATCTAATGAATAACATATAAAATATTCTATGTCTGTACTTTAACCTTGGAAACTTGATTACGGATAATTCCAAAGTCAGAAAAATAAATATACAACTGCCACTTTCAAACTATCAATAACTATCATATTTTTATTAGTAAAATTACTACTCGATGGACAGTTTCTCGAAACAGTATTTTTATTTTTCAAAGAAAAATCATCAAAAAATCTAATCTTATCAAATTTTTTCAAAACGAAAACTAAACTTTGTTTTTTTTATCAAATAAAACTCTAATTTTATTTTTCAATAAAAAATAATTATGAATTTTATAATCGTTGTCATTTTTAAATTCAAATACTGACATATCATACTAATATCCTATATAATAAATCAACATTTTTATTATATTTATACCTCATCATCTATATATATCGATATTGATATATCACGTCACGTCAATGATATATTTAAAAATAATAACTGTTATAAAGTTTAGATTTATTTATAATTCAAAAATTAAATTGAATTTTTAATTGATAAAAATAAAATTTAGATTTTTATTTTCTAAAAATTAACAAGTTTAATTTTTTTTTAGATTTTCCCATTTTTAAATGATGGCCGAAACGAAACTGTGTGCATGTGTCATATCTGCACCAAAAATAAATCTATGTTACGTGGTAATAACATATGCATATTTGAACCACAAGATCTTGTTGTTGTGACCAAATGGGATGGAAAAGACACACGTGGCAATTATGCTTAACCATGGTTAAACCAAGGCGTGTTAGGTGGGTTGAGCTGACCGGTCTGGTTTGGTGGGCGCTCCGTCCCTTCCCTTCCCTCCATATTTATATTTCTCCATCTCTCCTCTCTCATTCTCAGGAGTCCGAGTCTCACCTAAAAAAACAAATCAACAGAGAGAGAAGGAGATCCTCCTGCTTGGTCTTCCTCATCCGCTGAGCTTACCTACTCCAATCCATGGCGTCTTCTTCTCCGTTGGGCTCCGTGAAGATTTCGCCCTTCGATCTCATGTCGGCGATCATTAAGGGCAAGTCGGGGGTCGCCGACTCGGCCAACGCCTCCGCATACGAGTCCTTCGCCGCCGAGTTCTCCGCCATTCTCTTCGAGAACAAGGATTTCAAGGCGCTTCTCACCACCTCTGTCGCCGTCCTCATCGGCTGCGTCATCGTGCTCGTGTGGCGGAGATCCGGCGGCAACAAGCCCAAGCTCGTTGAGCCTCCGAAGCCGTTAGTAATCAAGCGTCGCGAGGAGGAGGTCGACGACGGGAGAAAGAAGGTCACTATCTTCTTCGGCACTCAGACAGGAACCGCGGAAGGATTTGCTAAGGTGCGTGGACTTGTCTTTTCCATTTGAGCTGTGTGCTTACTACTACTACTGTGATTCGAATTTTTGTAATTGTTTATTTTTGAAACAACAGGCACTTGCCGAGGAAGCTAGGGCGAGATATGAGAAGGCCAGATTCAAAATCGTTGATTTGGTACGTACCAACAAAACTTTCGGAGAGCTTTGAGCTTGATTTTCATTATTTGTGGTAAATTCGCTTCTATTATTTTGTTTCGCGATCTGATTCGGGGTGTTTACAGGAAGATTATGCTGCGGATGATGATGAGTACGCGGAGAAATTGAAGAAGGAAAAACTCGCTTTCTTCTTCTTGGCCACGTTAGTATTATTAGCTGATTTTTCCGTCTTCCTGTAACTTTTTGGCGTTTAGCTTTTCTGGGCTCATTTGGTTTTACGAATCGGGTGCAGATACGGGGATGGTGAGCCTACAGATAATGCAGCGAGATTCTATAAATGGTTCACAGAGGTCAGTCTTCTTGTTGGATTTGCTTGAAAGAGGGTGGCTTTAGGTTTGGATATCTAGGTTCCTTAGAGGTTTGATCTGGTTTTACAGGGGGATGACAAGGGAGAATTGCTCAAGGACATGAAATACGGAGTCTTTGGGTTGGGCAACAGACAGTATGAGCATTTCAACAAGGTAGTAGATGAGATGTCTACAATGAGTTTGCCTTATGATTCTCTGTTTCGTTCTAAAGTCCAATATTCTAAACGTTTCCTTCTCAAATATGTATACAGATCGCCAAGGTAGTAGATGAGATGCTTGCTGAACAAGGTACGCCCAAATCTTCAACCCTTTTTTTGACCCTGCTCTGACATTGAAAGAGCTATCGGTATCATATTTGAATCAGTAGCTTGTTTGATGTCTATGATTCGAAGCCCGAATTGTTGCCAATAATTTCCTGAATGCTTCGACAGGTGCCGAGCGTCTTGCACCTGTGGGTCTCGGAGATGATGACCAATGTATCGAGGATGACTTCACTGCATGGTATTAGCTGATTCAGATTGTTCTCTTCTGTTCCCTCTTAGTTTTAAGTATTGTTCTTGATCTGAACGTCGATATTCTTTTGGATCTTTCTCTTACCTTTTTCAGGCGTGAATCGTTATGGCCGGAGTTGGATAAGTTGCTTAGGGATGAGGGTGATGTAGCTGTTACTACACCTTACACCGCAGCTGTGTTGGAATACAGAGTTTCCGTTTATGACTCTGAAGATGGAAAACTGGAGGAGAAGAACTTGGCCAATGGGAATGGGCATACTGTTTATGATGCTCAACATCCATACAGGTACTTCCGCAATAAGGCCTTTTTTTAGTCATTTTTCTTGTCATATATATCGTCTGATGATCCTGATCTGAATTGTGCTTTGTTTTTCCGTTTAAAGGGCTAATGTTTCTGTAAAGAAGGAGCTTCATACTACCGAGTCTGACCGTTCTTGCACCCATTTGGAATTGGACATCGCTGGGACAGGACTCTCGTGAGTTCTACTCCTCTTCTTTGTTTCATTGTGCTTACCTTCATATTGTCTTAAGAATGTTGCTGATGGTAGAATAACTTGTATCGTATGTTTGTGACATCTTGTCTCTCAGGTATGAAGCCGGAGATCATGTTGGTGTGTACAGTCAGAACTCAAGCGAAACTGTGGAGGAAGCACTTAGGTTACTGGGTATGTCAGGCGATATTTATTTCGCCCTCCATACCGAAAAAGAGGACGGAACACCGATCACTGGCAGTGCACTTCCTCCTCCATTCCCGCCTTGCTCTTTGAGGACAGCCCTGACTCGTTACACATGTCTTCTGAGTTCTCCGAAGAAGGTTTGATCCCTTGTCTGATCTCTTCGGGTGCTTGTTGGTTTACCCGTATTGTCTTATCCACCTGATTCTCTCCAAGTGTTCGAATTGCTTCTTATTCACATGCTTGTTACCTGCAGTCTGCATTACTTGCTTTGGCCGCTAATGCTTCTGATCCAACCGAAGCTGAGAGATTAAGACACCTTGCATCACCTGCTGGGAAGGTTGTGGCCGAGTTTGTTTGTTTAACTTTTTTTGTTTGTTCATGCGATTTCCTTTCAATTCTCTCTAAATGCTTAACTAAATGCCCTTTCAACGACAGGACGAGTACGCGAAATGGATAGTGGAAAGTCAGAGAAGTCTCCTCGAGGTGATGGCTGAGTTTCCTTCAGCCAAGCCTCCCCTCGGTGTATTCTTTGCTGCCGTTGCTCCGAGGTTGCAGCCTAGGTTCTATTCGATCTCTTCATCTCCAAAGTGAGTATTATGGATTCGTTTCTGTTAACGATTTAATTTCTTCAAGAATATTTTCTCTTGAGCTCTCATGTAAAAAACCCATTTGCCTTCCATGTTTGCAGGATCGCACCGTCAAGAATTCATGTCACATGTGCTCTGGTTCTCGATAAGATGCCAACTGGAAGGATTCACAAGGGCGTTTGCTCGACTTGGATGAAGGTATAAATCCTTGATATAGTCCGTATTTTCATAGCAAAGCCATCAGGGTTTTGCTTATCGTTCTTTTCAATGCAGTGTCTCTTTTTTCCGTGTATTCTGATGAATCTTCGCTTTCATGAACACAGAATGCTGTGCCATTGGAGAAAAGCGAGAACTGCTGCTGGGCGCCCATTTTTGTGAGGCAGTCCAACTTCAAACTTCCTTCAGATGCTAATGTACCAATCATCATGATCGGTCCTGGGACTGGGTTGGCTCCCTTCAGGGGTTTTCTTCAGGTGGGATTCGTCGTGTTCCTAGTCCCGATCCAGCGTTTTCATCTCTTGATTAATCGAGGCTAACCCATTTTTCCTGCTATGTTCTCAGGAAAGACTTGCCCTGAAAGAGTCCGGGGTTGAACTCGGACCATCCATTCTCTTCTTTGGTTGCAGAAACCGTAGGATGGTGAGTCATCTTTCAAAACTGAAATCTCTATACGATGTTGAAGCTTATCTTTGTCCGGTTCCGAACTCAGAAAAATCTTATAAAATGGCAGGATTTCATATACGAGGACGAGCTCCAGAGATTCGTCGAGAGTGGTGCTCTCTCAGAGCTCGTTGTTGCATTCTCGCGCGAAGGACCCACCAAAGAATACGTCCAGCACAAGATGATTGACAAGGTATAATCTCGGGTCTACTCTATTATACTAACACATCTCGAGAAACACTCTTCTCCCGAAATCTCAGGTTCATTACAAAACTGATTCATCGAAAATGTTATAGGCCTCGGACATCTGGAACATGATTTCTCAGGGAGCGTATCTATACGTATGTGGTGACGCCAAAGGCATGGCAAGAGATGTTCATCGAGCACTCCACACTATAGTTCAAGAACAGGTAACATTTCCAATCGTTGTAGTCAAGAACCGTCAAAAACCCGAGATACTTTTTATGGTTATTGTCGGGTAGCATTTGTAGGGTTTGTACCGAGTGGTGCCGGCCCTTGCAGAAGTTACAATCATCATCGATGACACGATTTCTGACACTGACAAGTTCATGTTTCTGTCTGGTTGGAATGTTGTGTTGTAGGGTTCTATGGACGGCTCTAAAGCAGAGAGCTTTGTCAAGAATCTGCAGACGAGTGGAAGATATCTTCGTGATGTTTGGTAATATCAAGCATTTTTACAACACACTGAGGCATTATACAAAGAAAAAACCAAAACGTCGAAGGAAAAGCTCCTCCCGTTTCTTTCTTTTATAAGCTTTAGTAATCCTTTTTTCCCATATATTTTTGTTTATATATTTTGAGAGAAGTTCATATTTAGCTTTGTTATTATTATTTTAATTATTATAGTTATGCAAGTATATTGTATGTGCCCTTTTGTATAAGACTGCAAAGAGGACATATCTTGTGTCCCCTTTTTCTGGAATGCCAAGTGTATTTCTGTATATTTTTGTCATAACCTCCCAATGTTCATAAAATTTCGGTTTAATTTGGTTAGTTTTGTTCCATTTTGTAAATAATGAACCAAATTCTTTAGACGTTTCACGTCCAACTGAAGACAAATGGTTATAGAGTTTACAAATTTTAAAATATGATTCGAATTATTATTTAGATGTATTACAAAATTTGTAAACTCTATAATCAATTATACAATTAAAGGTCAACACTTCATTTAAAACCATTGAAAAATCAAAGAAAAAAAAAATCAAAACTGCAATAATGGGAGAACAAGAAAAGGAAGAAATAATAATAATGGGCAAAAAAAAAAAACGAAAAAGCAAAGATGGAAAGTCTCTAGTTGGTTCGGAAGTGCTCTTCGGTGGTTGAGAATTTTATTTTATTTAACCCCCCAAAAAAAGAAGGGGAGATGGGTAGGTGAGGGAAGAACGTAGGTGAGGGACATTATGAAAAGCACGTGAATCATAATATATATATATATATATCAATCGGTGCAATTAAAAGTTGGTGGGGCGATTACAACGACACCAACAATTTAATAGTTATATCATTTTATCATATAATTTCCTTCTTAGAGAAAAAATAAAATGAAATAAAACCCGTGGTTTAAAAAAAATAAAGTCTCGAAACTACTCGATGATTGTGAGTGGGTGTCTAACCCAAGAGAATCGGTTTAAGTCGGTTTGATATCGATATTAATTCATTCATTTTGTTTAAATATATTTTAAATTCTCTAAATTTAGTACGTATTTCAATAACTTGACTAATTTCACAAAGAACTTCTTTAATTCCGCTTTCTTTCTCTTTTGAATCCAACAATATAAATTTCATATTATTTTGTACGTGGAAAATAGCCACTGGACCATAGAAATTCTATTCAAATCATCTAATTAAAACAAGTATTTAATAATTCATTTAAAAATAAACTAGATCTATATACAGATATAATATAACACCGAATTTATTATCTATAGCAAACAAATTATTGAAAATATTTGACGTTTTAAGTTAGTTATTTTATATTTGTCAAAAAAAGATAAAAAAAATCAGGTATACCTATATTTTTATTGATAAAAATAATATTATCATTAATAATTTATTAGAATTTAGTAGGGATAAATTAAAAATTTTTTTATGAAAAAAATTAAAATATCCATTCTGTTAGTGCATTTTTCTCGCGTATTAGAATTACGAAGGACGTTGAATTTACATACAAATAACGTCATATTGAGAAAAAAATCATCGAATATATATGCGTAGATGATGCCACATCTGTCTGTCCAAAATGATTTTCATAATTTTTTTTGTCAAGCGAAGGTCAGTCCACATACGGGACCAAATAAATAAATAAAAAGAAGTTATTGTCTGATTTTTTTTTATTTAATTATTGAACGGCACTAAAAAGAGGCATGTATGTACCGTCAAATCTAATCAAAAGCTAGAAATAATTAACTTGTTATATTTAGAGAAAATCGGATATTATTATTAATATAAAAATTGGTAAAAAAAATTCTAGATAAATACAGAAAATTTAAAATTTTATAAAAAAAAATACACGATTTTTTCTTAACTTAAACACTAAAATCTAAAATTTTAAAAAATTCTCAAAAATTAATATATCATACTGATATTTGAAAATAATTTAAAAGTTTAGAATTTATTTTTATTATTTTTAAAAAGTTAAGATTTAATATAGACGGTCGTAAGAGTCCATGTATTTATTTAAAATTTTAAATTTTATACCGAAAAGACTTGATGAAAAATGTAGAAAACAAAACACGAGTTTGTATGGTACGAATATAATTTATTTTACTTGATCTTGAAAAATTCATGGGGAATAAATTGAATTCAAAAGCTTTCAATTCTCTTCATTTTGTGCATGTACGATCAAATGTTTGTCTAAAAATCATTTTGACATCTACTATTCAACTATATTTAGAGGTGTGAATTTAAATTTATTTAAAACGAATTGATTCATTTTGGTCTCTACTCATTAGATTCGTTTTAAAAAAGAGTCAAATTTTTTTTGATTCAACTCGATTCCTCTATTTTACGAGTTAAACGAATCGGTTCGAAAAAAAATAATATAATATTTTTTATTTATATTATAAAAAATATCAAATAAATGATACTTTAATATAAATTGAAAACATTAAACTCAAGTATACCGAAGAAGGTATATATACATACAGTCAATAAAAAATAAATAAAAAAATTTAACTCGTGAACTAACTCCTGATTCATCGAGTTGGCTCGCCAGAACTCGAGGCTGTGTCAAGCTGGCTCGTGTACAAATGTCGACTCAACTCGTTAAAAAAAATGAGGCAATAACGACATTTACAAATGCACAAGTATTGTTTTGCCTTCAATGTCTTTATTATATTCAAATTCGCGTGTATATATTTTGGTTCGGTCGATTGAAAACGTTTGGCATTGTTCAAATATTTTGTAGGTGGGACATTATAACAAAAGTACTTGACGTGTGTATATATATATATGTATGGGTTACATAATCGCATACGAATATATGAACATAAGGCAAAGCCTTGTCAAATTGTAATATACTATGCATAATGAATATAGAAGCTAACATGGCACAAAAAAGATAGTAACGAGAAAAAGAAAATTAAGATTCAAGATTCGGCTTACATTGATATCATTTCAAGGGGGGAAAAGATAGTAATTTTTTTTTTGGTAATCGGATGTCATGAGTCGAACCGTAAACCAATCGATATCGATAACAAGTTATGTGATTAGAATATTCACCATTCTCCCCAACTTGAGGTTCGAACTCGGGGTGTCATATACATTTGTATTTCCATTTTATCAGTTGAATTAAGCAAGTTGGGTAAAAGATAGTAATATTGACCCAACAGTTGGTGGCCCATTGGTTGAGAGGTGACAAAATCATCCTCGAGGTCATGGGCTCGATTCCATTGGTGGGGAGGGATGTAATTTCTGGATCAAAATGGTCCATATACAAAGGTTGGTCTCGGACCTAGGGTGGATGTAGTCGGGTCGAAGGCCCGGGGAACCATCCTGGTTATAAAAAAAAAGATAGTAATATTGAATGGTACCAAAAAAAAATTTCTAATCATTCTTTCTAGATAATATTTACATATGTCATAGTATATCCTTAATATATAAATTTTCCATTTAAGGTCGACGATAGCGGTTTTGATTAAGAATAGTTTCGGGTTTACCGGTTTAGACCGGTAAGGGCCATCACATTCTCATCGTATATACGTAAAGATTTGCTGTATACTATCTTATAAACGAAAAAATACATATACAGGTAGAGTTTTTATTTTATAAAAAAAATATTTTCAGATCTAAGCCCTAATATCTTTCTTATCTAAATCATAATATTTTATATATTTGGTGTATATTCTAATACCTTTCAAATTGGGCGAAGACAGAGCCACGACTGTGCTTCTGCTCTTGGGCTTATTTTATAAATATGTAATCTTTAAGGCCCAATTATTGATAAACTCGGCCCAACTATAATTATTATTGGCCCAATTTCCCTGGTTGGAAACATAATGATTTGTTTATTTTTTGAATAAAAGGTACGGAAATTCTATCTACAAAGACTACAATACAAGATATTAGATAACTATTGATATATATATATATATATATATAAAGATAAATTGGCTAAGTTGTATGTACCCTTTACGAGGTATATGGCAAAAGGGTTGAATGAATTACAGGTTTCTTTTTTTTTTTTTTAAAAGAAGAAGTTCAATAATTTTGTTGGCTTTGACGTTGCAGTAAATTTATTCGACCGCTTTTTCCAATATATAAATTGATCATTTAGAATTTTTTTTAATAAGGATTCTAAACGCAAATGTATGCAGACAACAATTATCAAGATAATTTTAGAACACTCTTCAACTACATAAATAGATATGATAATAATATACTTTGTATCATAGTTGTCTTTTAGTGAATACAATTGGAATATATACATTTAATTTTCAAAGGATAAGGTTTTTCTCTTTGAAAATTACGAACCTAATTTTATAATAATAATAATAATAATAATAATAATAATAATAATAATAATAATAATATTTATTTTTCATACAAAATCTCCCTTAAATTTGAGATGATTCTCTTTTGTACCATAAAAAAACAAAGATAGGGGTAGAGTTGTGAAACAAAAAGAAAAGGAATTAAAAAGGTTATGGATAGCTAACAATTTTTTTTTTGTTGAAATAAAAACGTAAAATGACATATCATTGTAATAAATTTATTACTAATTAATCAGCCTAATCATTTTATCTGTTTAGATAATAGTGTAACATTTTCTCAAAAAAAATATCAAACTTAGAGGGCAAGCATAAGTAAACCTATTAATTATGACTTTGTGTCTTGGGGCATAAGTTGAAAAAAAGATCATATTCATCCTCTCCTTGCTTTCCTTTACGTTTCCACCTTTTTTTTTGGGTTAATGGTGAAATTTCAATTTCTCAAAGCAGATATATATTTCCGATTTCAGATACGACTCTATTCGGTTATTTTTTAATATCGATATTTATATTTTTAAAAATTATATTTATTTGGTTTTTATATTGAATTATCTTTTTCTATATAAAAATAATTGTTTTTTAAAAATGTTTATTCAGTTTTTTTTTGTTTAATATTAAGATCGTTCAATTTTTTTTGGTTTAAGATCGGATTTAATTTTTTTGTTTTTAAAAAAAATGTGTCTATACATTTTGTATATCGATTTCGATTCAAATATGTTAATGTATTATTCAATTCAAACCTATTCGAATTTATTTTATTTAACCGATATCTAAACCCTAAACCAGTGGCAGACCCAAGAACTTTTTATAGTGGGGACATTCATAAAAAAATTATATATAAAAATTAGCCAAATTTAATAAATGAAAAAAAAGAAGTGAGAGAGTTGAAAGTGGGAGCCACATTCAATAGTTAATGGGTCATTATTCTCTTTTTATTAAAATTTGTAAAATTTTTAACTTAAAGTTTTTTAAAAATTTTGACTATGGGCCTAAACCCTAATATCTAAAAAGATATTGGAGACGTCGTATTCTACAATCTAAAGGAAATACACGGGAAATTATTTTACTAAAGAAATCAATGATACACACGTATATATATATATATATATATATAAACAATTTAAACCAAATTATATCTATTGATTTTAAAATTCTATCTAACCCAAAGATTTTTAAGCGTTTAGATTGTTGTTATATTAACACATTTATTGCATCAAAATATCTATGAATTTAGATTACTATTATATATATATATATATGTATGTATAATATATATGCTATATAAATGGTAAATGTACTTTAATCCGATCAACAGAATGGACCTTCTATTGAGTATAATTTTGTGGAGTACACGTAATGTTTTCTTTTTACCATTTTATGCCATATATATTATAAGGATATATGCTGCACGCAATATTATATGTATATATGTGTTAATACATAGAACCATTTAAATAATATGTTGGACCCACCCCTTACAAAGGTCGTGTATATAAATATATGGGAACAAAATCTTAATGCTTTCAAAATCCTCGTTCCCCCACTCCTCTCTCTCTCTCTCTCTCTCTCTCTCTCTAAGAATAAAAATCCATGGAAACTTCAGGAAATAAAGAGGAAAAACCATGTCAGTGTAAGCAAGAAGACGAAGAACAAGAACATGCACTTCAACAAACTCTCGTAGAAGAAGAAGAAGAGGAAGAAGAAGCGCTGTCTCTTCGAGACCTTCCCCTCAACTCCGACCAAACCTCCGCCACCGCCACGTCAGCATCCGACCATCAAGATCCGGTGTCGGAGCTTTTCGAGTTCCTCGGTTTCGCCACGTGCGACGTATCTCCGGCGGAAAACATCATTTTCCGCGGCAAACTCATTCCCTTGAATGACCAGAATAACCTCCGTCCCGACAACAGCCGCGAAGTCCGTACGAACCCTAGCCCTCGTATTCGCGTACGGTCCGAGTCATTATCCGCGTTACAGGGCGATAAGCTCAGCCGGTCGAGTAGCGTACCACGAGTCATCAGAAACTGCCGTTCTTTGGATTGCCGCAAGCTTACTTGCGTCACAAGCAACGAGAAATTCTCCACACTAGAACATGATCGCAAGTTTCCGGAGAAGGGTTCCCCGCCGGAAATGCCCAAGTTTGCGGCAGCTCCGGCGAAGAATTCTGAAACGGGGTCGTTTGGTGGGAAAACTATTAGGCCGAGATGGTACGTGTTCATGTTTGGAATGGTTAAGTTCCCACCGGCGATTGAGCTAAGGGACATCAAGATTCGTCAGACTCGCCGGAATATTCCTCCGGTGATGTTTCCGTCTTCCGGAGATCGGATCTCCGGCAAGTCTTCGCCGTCTTCGGCATCGTCTTGGAGGTTTCTCAAGGCTTTGAGCTGCAAGGAGCCCACGAGCGCAGCTGCAACCGCGCCGTTTTGGGTGCCTAATGCGTGAAGTGAAGTGAAACGGCGTCTCTTCTTAAGTTAAATTACTGAAGTACCCTCTCTGTTCCACATCCAAGAGAAGGATACGATTGTCATTGCACTTAGTTATATATATATATATATATGTTGATGGAAAAGTTGCAGATTTTTTGTCGGACGAAGAATTCTAATATCTCAAAAGAATTTGATAGTTTAAGACTGTGATTCAGCGTCTTGCAACTTCCTTCACTTGCATTTATTATTGCAATTACATGATTTATATTTATGGGGAAATGTTTTACTTTCCATTATTATTATTTTTATATAAATTTAATTTCGTTAGGTGGTGGGAGAAATGAATGATGACCACAAGAGGCACGAGACAGGCATGAAAAATTTAACGTCACTCACATTTATTATGGTTTCTTTTCAATGATGATTATAAATTATATAATTGATTGTAGATATATCATATGGTCTGTCATATCATTTATTTATTTCTGGATTCAAATAATATATATGGGGTGGGATATTGGATAAATGGTAATGGTACGTTCTACCCAGACTATGACTATGACTATGACTATGACACTCTCTACCTATGCTATGTACCCATAAATAATCTTCTAGATTCGATCCAAAACAAAAAGAAATCACCTCTCAATCACAAAATTTTGAAAAAAAAGTTAAATAAATAGGAAGGAATAAAATGTTTCTACCGAAATAAAATATCAACTAATGTAGAAACAGCGAATGATAAATAGAAAAAAAAAAGTCAATATTTGAAATCACTCTAATGTTCCATAAATAAAGTAAAAAAAACATTTAATTATAATTTAAAAGGATACATTAATGAATATTGTAGTTTTTTTTTTATAAATTTAAAAGGAGATATTATGATTTATTTGAATTTGTAGATGATTAGAATTTTTTTTTGGTAACAAAAAAAGTTTAAGAATGTATAGATAGTCCCAAGCTCCAAGCTCATAAATGTGAACCGTTGATCCATATTTTTAGTACATCAATCTTATAACTTTAGTTTATCTTTACATGATCTACATGTAATTTGTGAAAGGAATAGAATGAATCACATTTCATAAAAAAAACAAAGATGGTCATTCACCAATCACCATTGAGTTCTCAAGATGATCACAATACAAATGGCACTGCTGCGGGGAATTAGTATCGTTACTACTAATCTCCTCCATGGAGGTATCTCTGCTGCAGTTAAGCTTAGACCCGATTTCCGTTTCCTTCATCCCATGAGGGTTTTCTTCATGGAAACCCTTTACGGAGTTTCTCGAATCGATGCTTCCACTGTTGGAACTTTGAGAGGTGGTTCCTGATAGAAACATTGCCAAGTCATCCCTTTCACCCAACGAAGAGGCCGTTTTCCTTCCTCGTAGAAAGCCTCTCGTAATTCAGATTCTACACGGTAAATCTGATTTTCAATCGCAGCTACAAATTGTTTGTGCCTAGCTAGCCAAATGTAGTTTCATCCCGACAGTGTCCAAGCCTCAACCTGACCGCCCTCTCAAACACCTCCGACTTACTCAGATCTCGAAAGTTCACGATACCGGAGTTACAACTTGTGAAAAAAGTCCACACATATAAGCTAGAAGAACACATTCCAGGGTCAAATAGTAGCAATTATGCAATCCATTTCTTGCAACTAGATTAACCAGGCTCCATCCATCAACAACTGGTAAAATTCAAAGAACACTTGCTGAGTTCGAAACCAATAGGGATTCCGAGAAAGGAACCGAAATCTTACCTGCAATTTGGCTGTACCCAAAGCTGTCTGGAGCTCTCTACAGAACGTATCCATTTGGTCGGATGCTCGACCTTCTCTATTCTCTTTCACCCACAACCCATATACTGATTCCATTCTGCAAAATCCAACACAGAAACAGAAACAAGAGAAAGCTAACCATCAGAAATTCCATATTCTTCAACAATCGCATCAATACAAAGTACTATCAACCATTTCTCTCCAAAATCTCAACACCGCTTGAGCTAATTCGAGATGGGACATCTATAAACTGGTCAAATAAATAGAAGAAATTCTCAAAAAGATGAAGCTCAGATAATGAACTAAGAACCCTAATCGACAAGCTAATGATTCAGCCAAATCAAAAAGGCAAAATCGAAACATACATATCAGCGGAGTCTTGAACCTCCTCAGCTGCGGAGAAGAAAGCGTCCTTTTGCCATAGATCGAAGCTGTTGGCTACCATCATCTTCGCAGCCACCACCAAACACAGCACAAGAGAAGAATCAACTCAAAGTGCGAGTAATGTCAATGGAAAATCGATCCAAAATATCATCGGGCAAGATTTTCCGATTATCAAAACAGATTCGCGTTCTCTTCTCTGCTATTCCCTTTTTTCCGTAGAAAATGAAAAACCGATTCTTTCGTTTGATTTTAAATCCTTCATTCTCGAATTCTGTGTGTCATAATATTAATATAACGAACCCGGCATAACTCGGTTAAGCAATTATCAGGATTAATATCGACACGTGGCTTGTTTTTATTGGATGGCTGTGAATTTGTTATTGTTTAGGCAACACCTGATTTTGAATTAGGAACCAAGAGAACGACAAGAAGGTGGTGTGTGGCCGCCACCTCAATCTTGGGCCGCAGGATGGCTTTCGTCGGAATTTATCCGGTTTTCATCTCTTACCAAGGTCGGTATGCCTCCGCTTTAGCTTAACCGGTGGTTCAGTATCCTCGTTCCTCCGACACAAGCTTAGAAACTTGCTTCTTGGCTCCAAGATGGAAGAGCTTATAATCTCTTGATTATAGATGACGATAGATGCTCGAACGAATTCATCTATTGAAAATAGGAAAACTATAGTTGGAAACAAAAATAAAATCATCATCCTCGTAAATCTCACAAATTCGGTCAACCAGGTCTCCTAAAACCTGTCAGACATTGCAAAATCAATTTACATATGTCCCAAAAAAAACATACCATATGTTTCACACATAATATGACCATATATATATAGCATCGACCAGAGTTTGTGACAAAAGGGTCCAGAAAAAAAAACAAGAAGTTGATGAACAAAAGGAGAGAGCTCGCTTGTTGGTGGGAATAAAACTTTCTATCTAAATTACCTGCGATTTTTCAATCAATGGCGATGATAAGGAAGCCGACGGAGACGTACATGAGGAAGACGGGGTAAAGGGCGAGGGCTTTCCTTCTAGGGTTAACGGCCGAGCTCATGAAAGGGTAAGCGGCCCACGAGCTCCAAGCCAACGTTACACACACCACGATTATTTTCATTATCACGTTATCCTTCAGCATGCAGATCACTGCCCCGACGTCCAGAGGGAATAGACAGTAACCGAGTAGGCTCAGGCTCTGGAAGAATATTATGTGTCCACCCTGCCATGCCATTACATATTTTGCAAAGAAGAAGACGGGTTAGCCAATTACAATGTGCAACTTTCGTGCTCATAGACACGGGGGATTTGACACGGAAAAAGGCTTACCAGGAGAAGCACGTTTAGCGTCAGAATTACTGCACCAGCTGCTAGCAGAGCAAATGCAACGGCAAATACCTCGGACTGGAATTTACATAAATATATAGTGAGATCAAGACGAAATGCAAGAGATAGTGAAAGACTCACAACATTAGCACGTACGGAGCAATGTAATTGACGAGCTAAAATCTACGAAAGTTCACAAGCAAAAAGAAACCAACAAGCCAAGTATAATGGGTTATCCACGAAAGAACATTCGAACAAATTTCGACTCGATATCAAAAAACCACTCAAAAAGGCAGAAGGGCATTCATGTTATTTTGCATACTCAAAATTCATAGACAACTGGAAATCAGTAAACATGGTATCTGAACACATCAAACAATCTTCTATCTGCCTCTTTGATTTCGCAGTTTATTCTCCGGCATCTACTCAATCCCAATATCAACCATTTATCGACTGGAATCTATGAAGGATGGCCTGAACCATGCCACCCAATAAGCCTTAATAAGTTGTAACGATACCGATTCAAGCCCACAAGAACAGGACCCGCAATCCTAAAGTTCCTAATATCATCTCTCCCATGCGGCCATGCCGACCAAATTCTCAAATAAATCCGACATTGGAGAACAATCTTATGGCAGAGAAGTGAAACACTATCTACATTGCATTGCCAATCACAACGTCCTGTGTTCTCCAAGTTTCGAGGTTCATGTTGCATCTATGGCGCCAATCATAATGATAAGAACAATCAACAACAAACCAGAGTTCAAAGGACTGCACTAAAACTAAATACCCAACAAGCGTATATCCCCGAAAGCTAGAAATTGAATTCTGGAAACTTTATGAATCAATAGGAAATCTAATGTGTAAACAGAGTGAAATCGGAATCTGAGAGCTGACCTTCTTGACGGAAGCTGACCACGAAAGAGTCAGCCCCAAGAACACAATGAAGAAAAACGGCCCCCATAGATCCCAATCCCTAAGTGCCTTCCCAGGATCCTCCCTGTACGGATTCGGAAACACCACAAGCTTCAGATTACTCACGATCCGCGACAGATCTCGCTTCACAGTGTCCCAGACAGGCTCCGTCAACGTGTTAGGCGGAGGCCCGAACCCGCTAGCACCGATGGTCTTCGACCCTCCGGAGTCTCCAGACGGCGGAAGAGGCGGAGGCAATGGGGCCGACGGGACCTTCTGTGCGGCGGAGGAGGACGGCGGAGGGAGGTTGGATTGGATGAACGGAGAGGACGAAACCGGAATCGAAGGCCGTGTCGGGCTAGGCGGCCGCGCCGGGAGGACGGTGGCGGGACCCGATTGAACGCTGTCGTTGATGAGATTCTCGATCTCGTCGATGTCAGACTGAGACGACGGATGAAGAGGTATGGTATCGCTGTGCGACATTTTCCCTTGAATGTCCTCCTCTTCTTCTTCGCGGAGAAATGTAAGATTCGGATATGGAAGAAAATTTTCTCGGGAAAACAAACTAGGGCAAGAAATTTCCCGGTGGGATCGGGCGGAGGAATTCGACCAGATCTGGAGACGACGAGTGGAAAATCACTATCACGAGGGATGAGAGAAGAGAGAGAAAGCAGAGGAAACGTGCAAAACGGTGGTCTTACAGAAACGACGTCGTTGCGGTGGAGCATTATGAATACGGATACGAATACGAATACGTAGGCTCGTAATTTTTACTTTTCTTACTTGACGGTAAATATGGTCGGGGTAAAAAAAAAAACCCCTTAAACGACAAAAAACAATTGGAAACGGATTTCCCGCAGTGAGTGGTGGTCTGTCGGTTCAAGACACAGACAAATATAAAAAATTATTTTAAAAAAATAAACAAATGAAAAAAGCAGTTCAAGTTCTGAAACGCTAACGTCATGGAAGAAAGAAAGGAAAGATGAACTTCGAAAACGATGCCGTTTTGCGTCATCTTCTTCGTCTTCTTCCCCAACTGAATCCTCAGAGCCAACTGGAAACACCACAGTCTCACTCACTCCAACACTCCCTTCACGAGTATAAATACATCTTCACTTCCTCTCTTTCCATTCTCATCCATCATACCTTCAAATCGCAGATCATAAGAGAGAAAAAAGAAAAGAAATGGCGTCTAGGGCTCATGTTTCTTGCGCGGGAAGTTTCCTGTTCTGGATCCTCTCTCTGTTAGCTGCCCATTTCACGGCGGTTCGGGCGGGAAACTTCAACAGCGACGTCCAGATAACATGGGGAGAAGGGCGGGGAAAGATTCTCGAGAACGGGAATATTCTCGCTCTCTCCCTCGACAGATTCTCCGGTTCGGGGTTTCAGTCCAAACCCGAGTTTGTCTACTGCAAGGTCGAGGCCCAGATCAAGCTCGTGCCCGGAAACACGTTTATTCGACTTCGTTCGCGCAGTTGAAATCGCCTGGAACGACGTGGGACGAGATCGATTTCGAGTTCTTGGGAAACCTAACCGGCCATCCCTATACTCTTCACACGAACGTATACACACGTGGCAAAGGCGACAAAGAGCAACAGTTCCACCTCTGGTTCGACCCGACAGCCGATTTCCACACTTATTCCATCACATGGAACCCCCAAAGAATCATGTACGTATACATACGGATATACATATACATGTATATATGTACACATACATACCGTCTGTCTGAATCATCTATGTATTTTATGTCGCTTTTAAGCTTCACGGTGGACGGAATCCCGATCAGAGAGTTCAAGAACTACGAATCGATCGGAGTCCCGTTCCCGAAGAACCAACCGATGAGACTGTACGCGAGCCTTTGGGAAGCAGACGAGTGGGCCACGAGAGGGGGACTGGTCAAGACAGACTGGTCACACGCTCCGTTCACCGCTTATTACAGGAACTACGACTCGGTCGGGTGTGTCTGGTCCGACGGCATACCGACTTGCCCTGATAACAACCGGCCTGGTTCGAGCCAGTGGTTCGAGCAAGAAGTCGATCCCAGGGGGAGGAACAGGATGAAGTGGGTGCAGGGCAAGTATATGGTTTACAACTACTGCTCCGACGAGAAGCGATACCCTCACGGCGTTCCTCCAGAGTGCAACATCCCCTGAATTTCGATTCCATTTACTTAGATTTATATTCAAGATGAACTCCATAATCTAGGTATTTATGTTATTTGATTTCATCGTAATTTGCATATTTTGATGATATTATTACGCCGAATATGATAAAATAACCGATTGATATCTATTTTTACACAACCGAACTCGAACAGATTACTGAAAATACCCACCCCTAATCCAAACAATCCAATACTTCACAACCAAAATCTCACCGTTAAACACAGATTAAGGTTGTCTTATAAGGCTTATATACTTCACAACAGAGACAGATACGATGTCCGAAATTCGGTTACAAGATTGGAACTTTAGCACTCTCTTCAATTACTATACACAAATTCTCTTTTCACAAACTCAAGGATGTACAAAGAAGACAGTGAAGAATGATAACAAAGGCCGCAGCCTTTGAGCAGAGTTAAATGATGGCTGTTCCGGATTCCGCTCCAAATTATTATGTTACATCAGATCAATGATCAATCTTCTCGAAAGAATAGAGTCTCGAGGCTCGGGATCATTCGCCGCTTATCATCAGCGACTGGAAAGGAACCCTTTTGATTTCAACGAAAGTGGAGTAGTCTGTGTTCATAGGCTGCTTCCATGGCTCACCGTCCATCTGCAAGAACGCGTCTTTCCATTCACCTCCTCTTAGTTCGAATCTAACCGCTGCAGCCTGCAAAAGTCACCGATCGCTATACCATTACGGGAAAACGACTTTACGAAGGGATAGGGGTGGGGCACCGGTCAGGTATCCAAAGATTCCGAGATACTCGGAGCCGGGTATCTTCTAATGTACCTGAGCAATGTGCTTGGCTGAGATGAGTTCAGCCATGACAAATGAAGCATGCCATCCTTGCTTTAGACCGAAAATTTCCAACAGACCATCATCACAATGTGCCTCCACAAACCCTCTCTGTAAATCCAAACCTTTCCAGACAACATGAGGGAAATCGGACGAAATGGACAAAAAGGTTGTCCCTTTCAATGAAACAAAAGTCGAAACTGCATAACAAAAACATGCCTTCTCGAGATAGTCGGGTTTCAGATTACCCCAAGGATGCCTTCCACTTCCATAGTTGTAAAGATTCAAGGCAACAATCGATCTGACACTACCAAACAGAAAAGAAAAAAAAAATCTGTCAAAGCTTTATAAGATTGATGTGTATTTGATCAATGATGTATATATCCAAAGCTTTTTCCTTTTTACCCTTTGGGAACAGGGATCTCTTCCCATTCAGAGCAGTTCACCTTTTGAATGTGGATCTTCAATATGTTTCTAAGTCCCCTGCAAATTCATCTAACACTAGCAGGATAAGAGCCCGGAAGAATTTCGCAATTAGTAGAAAACCCAGAGAGAAATTTTCCAGTGACATGCTGACCTTAAACCAGGGTCGCTCACACAAGGCGTGCAAAACCAGCCTTGACCGCAACTGTAACCCGAATAAATAATCTGCAGAGAAAAAAAAACAAGTAGGTATAGTTAGATAATCTCATTCTTGCTTGCAATAATATGAACCCGAAAGAACTACCTAGCTTAACGGAGATGGAGGAAGGATAATATCATATACCTTGTTTGAAATGGGACCCTGAGCAAGGTAGGGTTTCTCGTTGCGAAGATGATGGAAGCCAAAAGCAACTTGAGCATCCATTCCTAGATTCAAACCGGAAAACGTTTAAACCATGTGGAAGAGAGAGGAAACTGTGGTTCGGATATGAAAGTGTGAATGTTTTGTTCATCGAAAAAACCTATGCTGAAGTAGTTGTAGAACACTCCTTCATAGGACTTTGCCTTGGGAGGCACATCCCCTCCATTGTCCAACCCCTGAAGAAGCCACAAGACGAGAGTTCGATCTTATAGTCAGGACATGGCAATGTAGGAAAATACAAATGGTGAAGAATTTAACATGAATAAGGCGGTATTGATGTTTAGTCAATGTAAAACCTGATCAAGAACATTTTCATCTGTAGGTCTCAGAGAATAAGGAGAATCCACAACTTCACCCGACGGCATTGACACTACAGCCTTCCAGCTGCAGTGTTCGTAAAAAATCATAAATTCAGCAGATGCAAAACATGGGTTTTTCCTTATCTGCAGTGTAAGTCTTGTAAATTCAACGTATCACGAAACAGAAATCACAAGACAATCTAATGGTCAAAAGGGATTTTGTAGTTTTTGCTCATACGACTTGCCTGTCAAGGTGAGCAACCGGACCCATACTTGCCCGATGGAGTGTTCTTTTAACAGCAGATCTCCAGGCAAAAGGGAAGGAACCACCCTGCAGAGAATATAAACTTTCAAAAATCACAATTCAGAGGGGAAATCAATGTAACAGAAACATAAAGAGAAGTAAAAGACGCATACCCAGCCAAAACTCCTCGAGAGGTCATTTCCAGTACCGAGAGGAATAATACCAATGGGAGGAGGAGGAGAAAGTGTATTTCCTTCTTTGTGAAGCTCTCCAATACATCCAAGAACCCAACCTACAGTACCATCACCACCTGCAACCTATCATCTTCAACTGCTTGCTTACGAGTCCCATTCCATTTTACGAATTTGCGATTAACAACAAAACTTTCACTACAGAAACAAAGTGTTTTCACTCACCATAACTCGAATCCTTACTCTGCATTCTTTGGCACAGTCGTCTCCTTTGACAGCCAATGTATCCAGGCATGACAATCCATAGTGTACAAACTCATGAGGCTTCACTTCTGTGAGGTCAAAGACCTGTGTTACAATACAATCCACCAATCCTCAGTCCAACTCAAATACTTCACAAAACCCAGATCATTTCACCCTTTACAGACTATCATCAATAGCAAAAAGGAAAAGTTTTTTCAACAATGGAAGTTAAGTTACTCATCATTTGATTGGAAATTCTGCAAACGAGTAGTGGAGAACCAAGATTTCCTCCACCTGGGCTGGGTTCCAACAAAAGGTTTCACCTTTCTTAGGTAAAGCACTAAATCGGACACGATCCCTGCTAACCCTATGGCAAAAATATAAAAAGGGAAGATTCGAACGAGACAGAACACTAGGAATGTCCTGGGATATCCACATACATCATGTCGTTTCCATTTCCAAATCTTAACACACCTACTAAATAGATTTCAGAAAGTAATGAATTTCTGATATTCATGGTCTCTTAAGATTCAAAAACGAAACCCAAAACTTAGATCTTGATGTCATCTAACAATGAAAATTCATCCTGAATCTTTGGAAAAAGAGAGAAAAAAAAGACGAACTTCTAGACTGTGTTTAGGCACAAAATGCAGTGTTAATTCCATTTCCAAACACGAACACTAACCTGTTCTTCGGTCATCAACTGCTGAAGCCTCTCCTTAAGAACAGGGCCGTGTCGGCCACCACTTTTAGGGTTGATGAAGACGACCATCGGAGCCTCTGGCGCCATATCGCCGGAGGCGCCGCCGGGGAGGAGCAAGTGGTCGGGAATCGCGGCGGCGTCTCTCCGGCGGATGCACTCTCGCATTGCGAGGCGGAGATACTCCGGCATCGCCAGCCTCCGCCGCAGTTCCTCCCTGTCGACGCCGACCCACGTCAGGCTCTTCAGTCCACAGCCTCTCATCGCCGCCTCCGCATCATTCGCCGTAGACGGCCGCGCCCCCGGCACGAATTTCGCCGTCGACGCCTCGCCTATTGACCTCGGCGAGTCCATCTCTCTCACTCGAAGCCAAAAAAAAAGTCTCCTCTTTTGCGTCCTCTGATCGAAGATAGAGCAGAATATTCGAAACCCAGCAATCAAATTCGTCTAAAAAACTGCGCAAATATGTAAATTTGGTCGGATTGAGGACTGGTCTTGTCCTCTTCTGACCTTAAGAATTCTGTATACTTGTCGATTGACAGTTTGTTTCTCAGACTATTATTCGTATTCCGTAGACAAAGCGAAAGGGTGTACAATTGTATAGGTGTACGTATTCATTTTCTTTTGTTGAAAAAAGGGATTAAATGCCCATCTGGGCACACGGAAATTACGGAATTACCTGATTGGTGGATATTAGTATTACGAGTCTTGAAACTCAGATTAATTTCAAAAATTTTAAACAAAATATAAATGATGCATTAACTAAAGATATATACATTAACAATGTGAGGATGAGGAAATCAACAAATGAAAAATGACTAATTTTTTGAAACCCAAGGGGCAAAGTGGGGTTGTGATATAGAAGTTTTTATGTATATATATAATACATAATAATAATAAGATATTAGAGGAACACTTTTCCACATGAGTGGGGTTTCATTCACTGTCTGTTTATTATTTTTTTTTCCATGGAATCATATAATGAGGAACCCACTTACTCTGCCGACATCACATGTACTTTTGTTCTCATATACGTTTGGAATACATATCCACCAAACCGTATTTTTTTTCTTCCAAATATATTTTTTTTTTGTTATCATCTAAAGATTCTACTCTCTTCAATTGCTATTTTTGTGTGTGTATATATATATATATTGAGATTCTGAGTGATTGGACAGACTCTAACTCAGACAGAGGTTTCGGTTTGGTTCGGTAAAACCAGTATAGTTGCATTGAAGAAGGCTGCTTTGGCTTTTAAGACACATTGGAAAAGAAGACCGGTCCCATCAAACATTTTCATTTATATACAATGAACTTGTTCTTTCATATTTTTATTATAATCTGAATATGAAAAATGAAATATTTGCTTCAAAAGGCAAACAAAATCCATTTGTGGGAGAAAAAAAAAATCTGTTCTTTTAAATATTGTAGTATCAGTACACTTGACTCCATCTGTGATTGCATTGCTAATAATGTACAATGGCAGGCATTGTTCTTCACCAAGAACTCGGAAGAATATCCATCTGCACTGTCCAGTCTCTTACTTTTTCGAGTATCGGGTCCTGATCCAGATCGTCTGAATGTAAAAAGTCTGAAGCTTTCCGTTCAAACCAGTAAATCGTCGGCCTCAGCCGAGAAGTCGGGCTCTTCCGGCTTCTTTAACCGAGGCATCTCAACTTCCTTTACCCTCTGAGCAGCTCCTCGTCTCGTGTTAGCTGCAAACCGTGAAGCCAAGACCATGACCCCGAGGTTCATTTTCGGGCTCAGCCCCACCGACCCTTCTGCTTCTTCTTGCTGTTCTTCGTTCCCATGTCCAGACCCATCGGTGTCTTTCTCGTCCGTAGGGTACGATGATTCCGTTGCAGCTAGATTGCTTTCCATCATCCTCCTCTTGTACCTGCGCCATGCAGCTTGTATGAAACAAGCAGCCCAAGTTCTCCAATGGTGGGAGTAGAATCGGAATGTATGCTGAAGCTTCTTGCTGTGGAGTCTCCTGAACTGGTTCGCAACAAATTTCAAATCTTCGGCTCGTAGGGCAAATGCTTCAACTTCCACGAGAGCTCTCACTGTTCTTGTCGAGGAAGGCAAGTTAAGGGTCGATTTTGGAAGCAAGGCCCATGAAAGAAGCTCCTCCCCACAGAAATCTCCAGGTCGGAGTATGATGGAGTTGAAGAAACCAGTCCGGCCTCCGTTGGTAGTTGAACTATCGAGTCTGCCTCTGATGATGAAGAGCATTTCCGTTACCGGGTCACCTTCACGTACAAGATAGGTTCCTTCTGTACACAAAGACGAAACAAGACGCTCACATATGGCATCAAGAAGCTGGTCATCCATCTGGGAGAAAAATGGCACCTGCAAAGATAAAATATCGAGTTAGAACCCCAAAAAAAGAAAACTTTCGAAGGATAAAGCATTAGTATGGAAGAAATCATACACGTCGGACAAGATCCAGGCATAGATGGCGTTGAATATCACGACGAAGGTCAGTTGGTAAGCTGAGAAGAATAGCTTCTTCGTCAACTCCTCTGGTTGCCAACCACTTGTATTGCACAAAACGTCTCACACGGTGTTTCAGATCTTCTGGAAGTTGGCGATGTCTCATCCATTCCTCTGTGTCTCTTTTCTTGAGTCTCCATTCCTCGAGGCGGACAGTTAAAGATTGCAGGTATGTCTACAACAAATCAATGGCAACCATGGAACATGAGAACCAAGAAGACAAAAAGAACTAACAAGCAGACAGATCTCATGAGTGGAAGGAAGCAATCTAAGAGTGGAAAAGGGAAACAAGTCTGTGCTCGATAACAAGACATCATTGAATACATTCAGACATCCATGATTGTTCTTAAAACACGGTGTTGCTAATGCAGGACCAAGTACTTACCTGCATGTTCCCAATCAGATGGGCAAATAGAACAAGACCCAAGATAGCAATGAGCACTGCAAACATGGTCTCCCCGATGAATGTTGTCGTGGTCAAATTCTGGCCATACGAACTGTTAAAACAAAAAAATTTCACTCATTACCGAGGGGGCATAATTGATATCAAGTATTGAGCTAAAAGTAGCGGGCTCGTACCTAAGTTGTTGAAGCCCCCACCACAAGCAGTAGAAATATCTCTCAAAAAACTTTGAAGACACCACATTCTTTGTGATTGCATTCTCAAATATGCCATACTTGAAGTCACCCTTTTGTGCATCGCATGATTTGAACACGTTAGTGACCTTTGCCCATGTCATCTGGCTACTATCGTAAATGGAATCACAGTCCAAGTAATATAGAAGACAACCAAGGGAACCTTCCTCTTTTCTGCATCGCGATTTCCAGCACGAAGTATATCTATCTACCGACAATATATACCATGCCGCTCCAAGCACCTGTCACGAGCTTAAAAATCACAACTTTTACGAAAACGAAGTATCAAAAGCAATAACTCTGGGGAAGAAGGAATGCAAATACATACATGGCTTGCCAGCATGTACAACAAGAGATTGTATGCAGCTCCAGCCCAAGCAGTTTTTGTAACCACACCAGTTGCTTTGATGATTTGAGAACTTAGAGGAATGATGAGGTAAAATCTGGGAATGTATTGTAGCAAGACAATTAAAGCAAGGGCGTTGTTGTTGTGATCAAACCGATAACTTCTCGCCACCGGCATGGCAAACCAGATAACTATCTGCACCAAAGAATTTCAAAATTTCCACGTTATAAGATCGTTAGAAATGCATCAAACCCCATCAAACAAGATAACTATCTGCGCCAATAAAGTTCAAAATTTGCACGTTATAAGATGATAAGAAATGCATCAAACCCATCAAGCAAAATATAGATCAAGAGTGATTGTACCTGTGGAAGCGGTAAGGTTGCGATCAGATCGATGATAAAGTCGGATCTGAGATACCTTCGAGCAATCATCTTCGGGTCCATCACAAGTTCACCTCTCCCAAACACTCGAGTAGTAGAATTCGGTGCCACATAACCTGTCCTAAACTTGATAACAATGTGCAACAAGTAAAAGATATCGGCAATTGTCCTGAAGAAAGTAACAACAATTCTCAAACTCGTGTCCGTCTTTGCACATGGATACTTTGAGTCCCCTCCCACTGCAGGAACGAAAAAGTAAAGGGGGTCGATGAAGAGGGCAACCATACACGATACGATGAAAACCCAGTTCCATTGCAAGACAATGTCGCTTCCGGGGTCAAGGATTCTCTTATACCATGGGACTTCAGCCACTTGAAAGCTCTTAGATTTGCCAACTTTGGATGAATCAGTGTATCTGATACTATTTCCAGACAAGACATTATCAGGTTTCAGCATTGAAGACAATGAAAGTTTGTGTGATGACTTGCTCATAGGATCATTCACTCCCCACAAAGCCTCTTTTCTTCGTTTTCCATCCGAATAAAACCTGCAAAGTCACAATAAGATTTTGATTTCTTTGAAGAAAAATACGGAATCGCACTGATTGGGAAGAACCCTAAAAGTGCATTAGCACATCTTCAAACTGATTATGTGAATTGCTGGGTCGAAAATTAGCTTCATGAGCAACAAGAATCCAAGCTTGAGCTCTGGATATACAGAACCCACTTTCTATAACAGAGAAATCTAAAGCAAAACTCTACTACATTTTCTCGGCAACCAAACAGGGAGCTTGAAAATTTCGCCACTTTCAGAACAAATACAATCCGGATCATGAAAGAAAAGGAGAAAATAAAAAGAAGAAGAGCTGCGATAATAACTCACCGGACAAGCTTGTCTTTCTTCAACTCCATTACAAGAAGAAGAAGAAGAAGAAGAAGAAGAAGAAGAAGAAACCCTTTTTGATCGAATCGAACCAAGAAGAGAAGCTTCAGAGGAACCCTTCGATTTGGCCTCTGACACTCTCTCCCCTTCACTCTCTTTCTCTCTCTAAATCTGAAAAAGGTTGTGACTGCGGTTCCTGGGAGGATCGAATTGGGGAATATCACTGAGTCACGACCGAGTCAGAACTCTCGTTCCTTTTTTCTTTTCTTTTCTTTTGTACGTTTAAAAAAGAATCGGAGGATATTTGTTTTCCGGAATCCCCTCGAAGTCCACAGCAAGTCAACACATTTGACCAAAATGACAATCAAATTTAAACCCAATTAATATTTCATTTCCCGTTGAAATTTTACGGCCAAACAAAATTTTGGATGTATAAATATTTACAGTTATAGACTATAGTACTAATAATCAAATGCAAACCATAGATTGAATTTTCATCTGTCTATTTCCAATACATAATATGGATTTCACATTATAATTAATATTATATATATACACACACACTTTGTGAGTATTTCTTTTTTTTTATGGGTTTGGCACTGCTTTGTCAAAACAAGTAAGATGAACTCTAACAAAATATGTAACAATTTGTTAATAAAATGGATCGAGGAGGTATACCAATGTAAATTATGTGTGTATGAGTGTATGTATGTATGTATGTATTTATGTATGTATGTATGTATGTATGTATGTATGTATGTATGTATGTATGTATGTATGTATGTATGTATGTATGTATGTATGTATGTATGTATGTATGTATGTATGTATGTATGTATGTATGTATGTATGTATGTATGTATGTATGTATGTATGTATGTATGTATGTATGTATGTATGTATGTATGTATGTATGTATGTATGTATGTATGTATGTATGTAATTATGTGTGTATGTATGTATGTATGTATGTATGTATGTATGTATGTATGTATGTATGTATGTATGTATGTATGTATGTATGTATGTATGTATGTATGTATGTATGCATGCGATTAGATCCATTTAACTAAAATGACATGATAAATGGAGCTTTTCAGAATTTCTTATCCTCAAGCGGCCTATCTCATCAAAGGAAACTCATGTAAGATACATGAGCTTCCAACTGGTTAGTTAAACCTACTCCTGTTACCTTCTTTTTTTTTTTTTTTTTTAATCTTCCCATTTTAATTTGCACGCGAAAACCTTTATTTCATATAAAAAACGATTTTTTTAAAAAAAAAGAAAAAAAAATATTGAATAGAATATGTAGACATCTATTTGCAAATGTATAAGAATTTGGCATGTGAGAACATGCGTGACGATCTGCAAAAGCATTAAAGCCCCCAAACCCATAGCCCTAAATAGTTATTTTGGACTTTCGATTGGATTAGATTACTTTTAGATTCAATTTTTCTTTTTTATAATGTTGGGAACCTACTATTGTAACCCTTACACGTGGAATTGAACCGACTATCACCTACGTTTAACGATTTCAGAGAAATCTGACCACTAAATACGTCTAATGCTTGACCACCAAGAGGTGGGTATAGGACAGCTGATGGAGTAAACATCACATCAACGCGTACAAGACTGTAACACACATGTGAGAGGTAAATCAGTCGTAACTGACAGACGACAGGTAAGCGCGCAAATAGTCGAACCTCCAACCTCTGTGGACCATATTTCTCTTCAATTATTCATTTTAAGAGAAATATTTTATAATCGTTTCTATATAGTATCAGTCATTTGATTATTTTTTTTGGGTAAATATAAAGTTTCAGTCTTTGGTCCGGGGATCCGCGTGATACATCCGCCGCAGGAAATTCTCTCTTCTCCCCTATACGATTCGAATAATATTGACAGTACAAGTAGAAAATCCACTGCACTTGTCTTTTTATATATTATATATAAATTCATCAAAATTTTCGACCCAATTATATATTTTAAAAAAATTGAGAAAACCCAAATAAATGATCTTTCCCACCGTTGCTCTCGTGGAACTATTTTATTTGTTAGTCACTTATAAATTGCACGAATTGTTTACAGGCTTTTTAATAGGTGGGGCTATTTTGGTAGGGTTGATGGTTTATCGAACCAAAAAATATGATATTTTTTCTAATTTAATTTGTTTAAATTTTTTAGACGATATTAGTTTTTTAAAAAATTGAATTTCTCAAATTGAACCAAATTTTTAAAAAAAAAATCCGAAAAACCAATTTTTTTTTTATGAAAATCTAATTTTTTTTAATAAAAACTAAAGTCAAAACAAATCGAATATGATATAATAATCTATTGGTACCTATCTTTATAAAACCCAAAGAATAAACCCAACTATTCTCGATCTGACCTGATATGGAAACGTAATGCCCCTAATTATAGTTATTATTATAATTATTATTATAATTACTAGATTATCTTAACCCCTGAGTTTTGGCTCAAAAACATTGAATATTCGCCCTGAAATTGCGGGTCCCCTTAAACATGCTTACGTCGTAATTACGTTTTTTCTAACAAAATGAAAAAAAAAATACGTACACGCCGAGAGGATTGGGCACGTAGACAGTGTGGACATAAAGACAAAATGTGTAATATTATTTTATTTTTGTCACTAACATGTATCCTTACCATATTTTACCAAACACACACGCACACACACACATATATATATATATATATAGCAACTATATAATCTATATAGAAAGAGCGAAATCTGATTCCGAATCCAAATTTTAGATATTTCACGAATATCTTTTTTAGATATCACAACTACCTAAAAGGCAAAAGAGTTAGATACCCCAAAAATTTGAAGGTTGGGGTTTTAGAATTGGGAATCCGACTCTAAACCCATAAAAAAAAAATCATATCCGAATTCTACTTATAATTTTTCAAATAGTCGGATGTGTAAGGATAGTTCTAACAACAATGTACAATATTGAAAATGTGTTCCAAAAAATAAAAAAAAATTAGTAATGAATAGAAATGTCAAAGGAATCCGAACTCCGAAATTCGAAATATGGTCTAAACAAGTCTGGAAAAAAAGGGTTCGGACCTCAAAATATAGATCCGTTAAGGTTATTGACTTTCGGATCTCAGACCAAATGTGGTTCGTACCGGGTCGATCGGGTTTCGAGTCGGGTATGAGACCTGAACTCTTTTTTTTTACCCTAAAATTTTGTCAGCATCCACCCTCCACCATTTACTTGTGTACATGGTTGTTTCCATTCAAGATAAATTTGGTTGTTTTATAAAACAAAATTATTCAATTAATTTTTATTATGTTATTTAGATAAATAAATCCTCTAAATACTACGAAATTATATTTTTTTTCCTCCGTGATCTTAAGATTATATTAATTAACTCGTTTGTTTTGGAGAGTTCATTTTTTTATTAATAGTTAAAGGATGCATGTTGAATAAAAACAGAATACATATTAAAAAAAAATTCAATAATAAATTTCATAAAACTTGCTCCTAAATTGGATTTTGGTGATGATTTGAAAAATAATTAAATTGATTATGTGAGAAATAAAAAATAAAATAAATTTATGAAATATATACATGAATTCTTTTTAATACCAATGGCACATTAATTTTTTTTTAATCATATTCAACTTATCAGTATAATATCGTTTTATTATTTTAATTACCAATTGAATTTTGTTTAATTATTTGTATGGGAATTTGGTTAACGGAATTTCAAACATGTAAACGCATACCATTATATTATTATTTTTTTATGGTTATACTGCAATTATAAAAGATTTTTTATTAAATAAAGAAACAATTTGAACTTTGAGGCGAACCCATCCAGAACCCTATGAGGTCAGACTCCGGACCCTGAAATATATATATGCAAGTTTTATCGGGCCTGCCCAGCCCGATCCAAAACATTCTAGGCCCGAGTCGAGTCCGATTCAGATCCAACCCGACCCGCCCATTTTACACCGAGGAGGAAGAGAGGGAATAGTAAAAGGACATGAGATTCCTCTTGTTCACAAGAGAGTTTTGAGGGATTGGTTTACAAACTCCACGAGGAGATTCAACAACACACACCAAAACAACTGAGGTTTTGCAAAAGGAAAACTAGATAGTGTGTTGAAGATCATCACTTGCATGCTAACCATATCAACCATACCATCATCATCATCATCATCATCATCCCCATCAGCTTGAATATGGAGTAGAACTTCTACTGTAGAAGTCTTCATTAGAGGGAACAGAAACTACAAGCTGAAGAAGAGAGATTCACCACCTTTTTGTCCAACATGATCACCATCTCAAACCACCATTCAATTCAGAACTGCCCATATCCGTCGCAGTATGTGTGTGTGTGTATACATACGTCTATATATATATATATCTCACTGATGAGAGAATCGAAGAACTCGTGACACAAACAAATGAAAGGATTACTCACCTCATGTTAGAGAGAGTTCAAGAAAATTTCATAAACAACAATGAAGAATGCAGACTATGACTTCTGTCTCACGGGACGAACTCAAGCTGCGTCATCTTCATCATCATCATCATCGTCATGTCTGAAGTAAATCTTACTCATGATTCTGTGATTCAATACGACACAACACAAACAGAGAGATTCATCTGGTCATCCAAGCTACAAAATATGTTACAATCCCCCCAAAGTAAACCAGCTGAAAGAAACCTTCTATTGCCCCAAACTGTGAAGCAACAACCTTTGAATTCGTCAGACAAGCGGTAACATTGGGAATCAGAAGGAAAATTTTACATTTCTAAGACGAATATTATTGAAGAAAGATCACATTTTTGCTACCAGAGACGTTAATTTATCTTCCAATTATGATTGAAAATACAAAAAAGAAAGAAACAGAAACAAAACAAAAAACACTTACAAATCTAGCAAACTACTCCTTCTCTGACCAAAACATGCCCAAAAGTCTCCTCCTTGCTCGTCTTCCTCGTCCAATCTAACCCTAGCCCTGCAAACCGGACATGCTGCGACTTTGACCAACCATGAATCCACACACCTCCGGTGGAAAACATGGCCGCATCCGACAAGCCTCCGACACCATTGCCCTTGTCTGAACTCGTCGAGACAGACGACGCAATCGCTCCCGTACCGTGTGGGCTCGGAGAATTTGAATTGGGGAAGCTTCTTCACGCGTCTCGAGGAAAACCCGTTTGCGGATTCGCGGCGGCGATGGAGGATGCGGCGGCGGCGACGGTGGTGACGGTGGAGGGATGAGAGGAGGAGAGGGAGGAGGATGACGGAGGCAATACCGAGGAGGACGAAGAAGAGAGAGGTTATAAAGATCATGATAACACCGATGAGGAATAGAGAGAGAATCTTCGTCTTGGCCTTCGGCGGCGGCGGCTCGCCGGAGATCTGGCCATCGGGGCTCGGCGGCGGTGGCATCAGGAGATATCGGCAAAAAGTCTCGTCTCTTTTTTTTTTTTTTGTAGCCTTTTTTGTTCTCTCACGGAATTAACGCTGAAATCTGTTGAAAGCTAAAGAAGGAACGATTTTTTTTTTAAATATCTTTTTCGAGGAAATAAAATCAGAGAGAAATGAATATATATTCCTTGAAAGGCTATCTTCCCATTCGAAATTTTCAATATTATCTTAGAAAAAAAGTGGAAATATTATTATTATTATTATTATTATTATTATTATTATTATTATTATCTCAATGAATAAAATCTAAAGGCGTAAACGAATAAATTTTGTCGTTTGGTAATGGCAAGTAAATCCAATATCTCTTTTTTATTTATTATAAATTGAATATCTTTAGTGACGAGCATATTGGGGAATATTCCAACTACTGTAGCATATGTCGGAATTGCTTTTTCAGAAATTAAAGGAGAATTTGTGAAAACAATTGAACATGAACCACCACAGTTAGAGCAAATCAAACTCGTAAACAAAATCTATTTTACAATTAAAATAAATTAATTTCAAATAATTATAGACATAGAAAATATATTTCAATATTGGTTTTAATAAAAGTAAACAACAGATGCATAGGTTGGGACGTTGTTTTGTAATAAAAAGGAGAAACGAATGGCGCACACCTCATTTGATTTGTCAATAATAAATTCATTTCTGATTTTCGTTTACAATTATTTTATTATATCTATTTTCATTACATTATTCACAAATACAATCATTTTATTTTTGCCGTTACGTGGAAAAGGATAATGACAACCCGACAAGCAGAGCTTGAGTTTCCTCGGTAAGAGCAATCCTCATCTCACCAAACACTCTTTTTCTGTTGGAGGATTTACTTGCATGAGTTTTATATATATGGTTTTGAGGTATATCCTGAAATCATGATATTCTAACTAATATAAACACAAACCATTGTTCGTAATTTTAAACCTTATAAAAAAATTATAATTGTATTGCCCATAAGTTACCCTACTTTTATATTTAAAGATTTAATTTTATATATTTTTCGAGACATATGGAGTGTGGTTTTTTTTTTATGTTGTGGAAATATGACATATTCTTTCGAATGTGTTTTTTTTCTAAATGCCTAAAATTATGGGTGGATGTTTCGGTATTCGCTTCGGATTGGTTCGTGAATTGTTCAATTTGATTCTTTTAACTTTATAAATATATGTACCAACTAATTATTATTTTATATTTGATTCGTTTCAATTTGATTTTGGTTCGGTTCAGTTTCGATTTTTGTTAAAAAAAATCTATTTCGATTTTTTTAGTTTTTTTAAAAATTTGATTCGGTTTTCTAAAAAATTATCTTTGTAAATTTTAGATGATTTTCGTGAGCGATACTTTATTTTTCTGTTCGATACCGTTAATGATTCCAAAAAAGCCGTAACGAAACATCCACCCTTACTTAAAATAGAGTGGAGCTCGTGCAAAATGACAACATCAAATTTCATTGGGTTTAATGAAAGCACCAAATCAAAGTGGTACAAACCGGTTCACAGTCTCCGGTTCACTTAGTGAATTGGGTTTGGTTAATTTGTATTGGGCCTGGCCCATTACCTAACTGGATTACCTATGTTTTCCACATCTTTATCTTGTGCATTTATTTGGATTGGGCCTGGCTCGATTTTATAATCGGAAAAATTAGGATTATTTATGGGATTAACCCACCACTTCTCTCTAGAATATATTTTTTTTAGTATTTAAATTTCAAATAACCTGTTCAATTAAAATTTTCGAAATCCCAATTGGTGTTTCACCCCTACAATTCAAACCATAGTAATTTTTTAAAAATTATACTATATACCATAAAACTACATAACTTTTATTAAGACTTTTACGTTAATTTATTAAATCATCCTGTCAGATAGTCACATCGCACATACTCACATAGGGTTCGAATATCTCAAAATATAAGTGGGTATTGTTATTTAAGTTTGAATGGTTTGTTTCATAAAAAAAAAGGTTTGAATGGTTTGTTTATTTCCATTTTCACACTATTATTTCATGAAAAAGAAACGCGTTTTTCAATCATGAATTGACATGGGTAGAGACATATATATATATATATATATTAATATGTATATATATATATGTGTGTATTTAGACATTATTGCGATTTTTCCTGGAAATTTTGGTGGTAGTGGTCAGTCCAAAATCAATGCCATCTGTGGAATAATTGAATTTAAATCCACTAGGTCCAATTTGGAGTAGACCAAGACGACTTTGACTCCTTGACCAAAACCATTTATTTATTTATTTATTATTTATTATTTATTATTATCATCATGACATTAACGAGAAAATTAGGAAAAAGCGTCCTAATCCCAATAAAAAAAATGGGAAAATATTTGTTGGGGAGTTTAGAAATGACTATTTGCATTTAAAATGAAATTGAAAATTAGTAACAGCAGAATCCATTGTTAGAGGAAATTTAGATAAATGTAAAACTGTGAAGAAAAGTCTTTCAGTCCAGTTCCCACCACTATGGATAAGAGGACACATCTAGAAAGATTGGAAATTTGGTACGCACAATCATCATTAATAATATTATTATTATTTATATTTATTTCTTCTATAAAAAGCCCTTTTGTCTTCGGTGTATTGCCATCAAACTCAGACAAAAGCCAAGGAAGAGAGAGAGAGAGATGAAAGGGGAGGTTGTTCTAATGGCGACAGTTTTGGCTTTCTGCTTAGCTCCCATTGCCGAAGCCGTTTTCGGCAGAGCTGTCTACTACAACCCTCCCTACACTCGTACGTTTCCATACATACATGCATACATGCACACACGCATACATACATACATACATATATAACGCGACAGTGATCTTTAACGCAACCCAAAATATGTCTATGCAAAGCACAAATAAAAAAAAACTGTAACTTAATGTTGCATGTATTATTGTAACTTAGTTTGGTAGGACCGTCGCCACATATGTTCAACTTTGATATATAACCGAATTCAAACCGAAACCGACATTATTCTTTCCTAATATTTGGAGCCTAGATTTCATATAATTCGAGTCATCCATTCCATTTACAAAGTTTTCAATTTGATTATCATTTTCCGACATAATCCGAAACACTCACCTAGCTCAAATTCGAGCTTGGGGTTTCGTTGGGGATGTTCTGTAGTGTTGATTGCTCTGTTTATTTGTTAATTTCGATCAAAATCGGAGCTTCAATCGAAGATTGAAGTTTCGGACCTTTGAGAGAGAGTTGAGAGAGAGTGAGAGAGTGAAGTGAGAGATCGAATACAGGGGAAATGGGTGGACTTAGGCCGCAAATCCTCGCGTCCTAGAGGAAGCAGAAGGTGTCACGGCAAGTAGGAGGTGTCACGCACCGGAGGGAGGCCGAAATTGCGGCCGTGACTCAGCAAAAAGAAGAGGCGGCGCGTGCAGTCTGGGCCAGCTCCGTCAGACCCGACGGTTTGACTATGCAGACCGGACGGTTTGCATGGTCCAGACCCGACGGTCTGCACTGCTCAGACCCGACAGTCTACTTCCCAGACCGGACGGTCTGG